AGGGCGCGGCATCTGAATCAATTGCGAGGTAGTCCCACGCGAGAGCAGGATTCTTGTATCAAGGGTGAGGATGTCCCGCGCGAGAGCGCGATTTGGGAATTTACTGTGAGGGAGTATCAGGCTGTAGCCGTTGTTGGAAGTCGGGGGCCAGGGGCACAATCTGAGTCTCAATAATCTCCCTTTTTAATAAATAGGGTGCGAGCCCCGGGAGGAGCACTTCGATTTTCAAAATACACAGGTCGCCAGAAGGGGGATCGACAGTAATTATTTGCTTTGTTGTTCCCAGTCGTGGGAGTTCAACAACCGCAACAGCAGCAACAACAACACAGACGACGACCTCGACCAGAATGGCCACCCAAAGACACGACGCATTATGAGCGTGCACTCTCCGGCCAACCCAGCGCACCTCTGCACGGCACGGGTATGTGGTAACAGCGCGAACAAATTTAGGTAACAATGCGTGATGTTTTTTTGTTTTTGGAGCAAACACCTAACACGCGACACACTTGACGATATCGCTTCAACAACGGCGCAATACACCCACGACAGCATCACGGGACGAGCTCAACAAATGCATCTGGAAAGAGATTTAAGAGAGCAGCTCTAAGAAGAACACTCGAGCGAATCGTTTCAGAGTGCAGGGTCTGAAGCGCATCAGCGGGTAAATATGTCAGCAAGCGAACATCCATTATGAGCATTATGAGCATGAGCCATTCTTGCTGGTCCCATAGGCCTCCTGGACGCACTTGCGTTTCCGCCCTGCCCCTTCTCCTCGCTTTGCTTCGCGTTGGCATGGTCTCCAAAGCACGGCTCGAGTGGATTCTGCATCAGTTGTCGTTCGGACGCCAATGCCGCTGTCGTGTCAATAGTCATGCTGAGAAAGTTGTGGTTCACATTGTGATGACCGATCAGTCTTTGAACAACATGCAGAAGAATCTCATAATGTACATGGTGCAGACCTTAACTGTAGGGACGGACTGCTTCGTCACGGTTGACCATGAGCATGGGAAATCTTCTGGTGAATATTTTTGCTCGTTTGTTGTCAAATCGCCATCTGCAAGCAGTTTTTGTCAGCCTGTGGCACACACCGAGGTGGACGCTTCGTCCCCCAGTGCTGCCCCACCCGATTACCAGAACGTACCGCATGGCTCCGTGTGCAGCAACGTTGCGGATGAGCCCAGGGATGTTGATTGCGAAGCTAACACCGCTCGTGGATTGCCCTTTAAAGTGCAAGAATGCTTGGGGAATATTGCTGGTGAGCGATAGCGGCAGCAGGTTTTTGCAGTCTTTGACGGATTCACGGATGAGCACCCAACCAATGTTGGATACATTGCAGCGCTTGTCTGGCGAGATTCGGACTTTGATCGGCTTCATGCGCGACACGATGGGGCACGCTGAGCCTTCGATGCTTGAGTGTGCCGAATCCTTGGTTCCCAGAATCGACCTGGCAATTCACGACGTCCCGCCTGACGTGACCATAATGGAAGCGCAGCGTGTTGTTGATGACATTGTCATTGTGGCCAATGGCTTCATTGCTGAGAGCGACGAGCTCGTGTCACGTAGGACGATGCTGGTACAATTGGGCCCCCGACGGTTGTGGTGCAACTGGGCCCCCGGGCGCCGCCAACGGCTCGTGTGCCTCGCTGTTTGCGGGTTCTTGCACGGCTACTCGCTCCGATTCCCCTATTTATTCCTGTGCTTCTTCGGTTGCGAGGTAATTATATGTGGGGTTTCCGCCCACTCTCACTCCCCGCCGCGCGGGGTGCGGAGTTTCCGAGATCGAATAGACATCGTTGTTTTTTCCATACAACAAATGATATATATATATATATATATATGTATGAAAAAAAAAAAAAACATCATGAGCATGACAGACGAGGACAGCAAGACACAGCGCGACCGATAATAATCATAACTCCATGACAAGTATTTCCGGCATTCTGCGAGGATTTGCACAACGAAGGCGCGTGCAGCGGCAACTTGGGGAGCCACGTCAGCACGCGCGAGCGACAAAACAAAATCCCACCGATTACGCGTGACGACACGGAGGCGGCCTTACGACATTTACGTGCCAACATAGCCACTTTTTTTTTCTGGTCCAGCCGCGCAAATAATGAAATCAAGGGTGATGCGCCTCGACCCGTGCCTTTCGACATGCGCGACAAAATCATCTCGCCTGGTTGCCCGACGCCGACTAGATGACGACACGCAGCAACTCACGTTTTGCACAGAAACAGGAATCCCAAGCAACCAACGAATTTCCGGTCAATCGCAAACCATTTTTTGTCAAGCCTTTTCTAGCGACTTCTCTATAATCGTCTACGTCCAGCCCTCGGCGTCAACAGAAACACTCACCAAGCAGACTGCCGATTTTTCCGCAGCACCACAAACCAACGATTTGAGATGGCCACACTGCAAGTAATTGCTGACGAATGGCAAATTCCCATGTGGTCGTCCGCAGTGGACTGAAAGAAAGCGTTCGACAGCATTCGGGCAAGCATGTGGGAGCCATTGGGAGAGCAGAATACGCTCAGACCATATACCATACATTCGATGGTTCTCAAAGTTGTACAATGATCAAGCTGCGTTAGTTCACACAGACTGGACCAGCTGGCTGTTCAATGTATCAAGAGGGACGAACCAGACAGTCGATTTCAGCTCCTGCTTTCCCACCGCGTCTCAGAAAGCAGCATGGGACCAAAAGCGAATGGGAATCCCCAACATGTTGTTTCAAACTGCAGTGGCACACGAATTGCCGGCCCACCAGCTGTTTTTGTTTCGAGCGACGTTCTTTTGTTTGCAAGGTCGCGGAATCATCTCGCTTACATGTTGTTCGATGTGACCACCCTAGCCGTCAAGGCATGCTTGGACTGTCACCCCGTCAAAGCGACGATCACGCACAATGGTCACAGATCTCCACGAGGCAAACCAGGTCGTTTTTCTGTTATACATTCCGGCGTGACGATCGAGGTCTTACCTCCCTGCGCGACCACGAAGTATTTCCGACGGCAACTACAGTACAGCGCGCCCCACGCAACCAAACTAGAACACCGCATCTCTACGGCGTCGCGAAAGCGTCACGCCCTCAAGCAGGAACTGCCTACGCCGACAAAATTCACAATCAGACAGACTCCGCCTTTTTAGCGGGACCATGATGCCCAGTACCCGTTACGGTTGCGAAGCGTGGACGTTCGCCTGCGAACGAGAGTATTGACTCTGGCGAATTCAACAACAGGGACTTCGAATGATCGTGCTAGTGCCGCGGTGAACCTCAGCGGCTGCATGTTCACCAGCAGAACCACAAGCAAACAATGCCACACAGCCAGTACGACGGCAACCATCACGACGACGGTTTGTGAGTAGACAGTGTGCCCTCAGATCTTGCACCAGCGATCCACAACGGGGGTGCAACAGACTACTTTGAGCCACGGGTGGATTGGATCAAACGAGCAACTCGTACGGTAAAGGTGACCTTGGCGAAAACACACATAATTGATTTGATACCTACAGCGCGTCGGAGAAGGTGGAAGTGGGTACGGAAATGAAGCGAAGGTAGTTTACACGAGTGGGTATGGCAAGTACATACGTGTGTCCACATGTTGACCCAATGTTTGATTCAAGGCGCAGAGCGGGAAAACCCACTTCCACATGGATTGACGAAATAGGATGTTCCATGTGCTACAAATTGGGTGTGATGACGTGGGTATTGCAGAAATGTTGAAGCATGGGTCGCCTAGTATCGGGATCCAATTGGACTGGACTGCGCAACGCCCGCAAAGGAGACATGAACGCGCCGTGCGACTTGTCCAGATTTTTGGCGCTGCATTGCTTCACCCGAAGCACCCTTGACGGTGCACATGTGTGGGAGTGCTCGGTGCTCAGTGATTACATAGGAGAGTTGAGGACCCCGGAGATGAAACATATGAAGGTATCAGCACATGTTTGAAAGTTTCGGTAGTCGATTCCCGATCGCCGGCGTAATAACATCCCAATACTTCGATATTGGACCCTTCATTCTCGCCCCAAGGACGTCTAAAAGCTTTGATCCTCAGCCGCTGGCGTGATGACGTTCAGCAAGTTACGGCCTGGCGCCCATGATGCATCCAAGGGCTCCCTGCCAGGACAAGATTGGGCTCGTGATCTGTGTTCACGCTCTCCTTGGCTCCTGGCTGAGCCAAGACAGCATATCCTGCTCATCGATGTGCGGTAGGTTCGTATCGTCTCGACGCGGCGGCTAACCCATTGCTGGCGTTCAAGGTTGAACGTCGCCAAGCAAATGTTCCGAAGGCCGCCGACATCCAACAACCCGCGCTAAGAGACACCGCCTTTCCGCTAAATTTTGACTTGTCAAAGCGGTGTCAGAAGCCAACGAAGACGTCGTCACATCCCGAACCTGCCGTACAATCACACACCTTCTTGGGTCCAGGAGACAGTTCCTGAGATTCGGGTCGGGGGAGTTCCTTCGTTTCCGAGGCTCGCCGTAGCCAGACCCGCGGTGGGGCGCCCCCGCCCGGCCCGCCCCGCCGCCACCGCCGTCGTCGCTGTCGCCGCCGCCGCCGTTTTCAGACCTGAAGGAAGCAACACGACGAAAGGTTTCGGACGCGTTCGCAGACTCCCGGCGGTTTTCCAGCCTCGGGATGTCAGTAGCTGCGTTTCGCCACGAGCGTCCTGGGGGTGCCCAAGACCTCCCGACGGGGTGCCGAACGCCCGAGGCATGACCCGAACGCCAGACGCCATAACCCATTGTCGCTGCAGAACAGGTGTTTGCCCACTTGCCCTTGCCGTCTCGCCGGGCCCTCAAAACAAACGGCTCGGGATGAACGGCCCGTCCCAGGTCAAATGTCCAGACCTTCAAGGGTTCGCATGGGCTTCTGGGAACAGAAATCATGGCGTCGGAGGCCTGGGCAGGACGATCAGGTGGAACGGGGGGGGGGTCGGGATACGATGGAGGAGGAGAAGGAGGAGGAGGAGGAGGAGAAGAAGGAGCCTCCGCCATGCAGGGGGCAGTGGATCTTCGTCCCGTGGAACGTGTTTGACGCTGCGCTGGTCCTAATCGGGATCATCGACGTGTGGATCTTGCCAGCGACAGGACCCGTGTCTGGCCCGTTCTTCCTCCCCGTGAGAGGAATTCGGCCTTGAGAGAAATGAAGTCCCGCCTGGGGGGCCTTCCCTGGGAACCGCTCTTCATCCTGAGCCGCTTTTTGACGGTCCCAAGGCCCGAAAACGGCGAGATCCTGGCATGACTCCGTCCTCCAGGATCCTTACCAGCCTGCTTCAATTCCACATCCCTAGAGTTGGCATCCGCTAATCTTGGTCCCGATCGCAGCGATTCCCTCATCTTCCGAGGGCACACCTTCCCTCATCTTCAGGTGAGCTTGATGTCGCCTTGGGCGTGTCCGTCTCTGAGATAAGCACTAACGAGAGGCTGCGTAGACTTTCCTGCATGCTGATCTTCGTCGTCGTCGTCTTCGTCGCATTATTTTGCTTGATCCTGACCGCAGTCATCCTCCTCACCTTGCGCGGGACAGTGGGACAGTCGGACAGTGGTGGGGACAGCGGGGACAGTGGGACAGTGGGACAGTGGTGGGGACAGTGGGGACAGTGGGGAGATTGGGACCGTGGTGGGAACAGTGGTGGGGACAGTGGGACAGTGGTGGGGCACTGGTGGGGACAGTGGGGACAGTGGTGGGAACAGTGGGGACAATGGGACAGTGGTGGTGGGGACGGTGGTGCTGGGGATTGCGGTGAGGACGGTGGTGAGGACGGCGGTGGGTGGGGGGGGGAGAGGTTCGAGGGGGAGAGGGGGCTCGAACCGGTAGAAACCCTGGTTTTCCGGAGGGGGAGGGCGTGGAGGGGTTAGGGGGAAGGGAGGTTTGCCGGGGGAAGGGAGGGGGGGGGGAGGTTCGAGCAAGGGGGGGGATTTTCGGAGGGGGGGGGAGACCCGGGCTCCGGAGGAATAGGGGACGGAACTTTCAACAGTGAAGCGGCGGTGGATCACGCTTTCTCATGTAGAGACAGATCTACACATGCATGTTTCACACACATCTGTATATACATATATATATATACACATAGGTATACATGTAAATATGTGTGTATAGCGTACATGGGTATTGCGTATGAGTATGTGTACATACGTGTCTACGGAGGCACATTTTCATAGACAGTTGCGTGCGTATAGATATGTATTGGTTGGTTTTTAAAGTGTAGTTTATGTATATGTTCATGTGTTGCAATGAGTCGCTCTGCAGCGCGTTTAGGCGCTCTGGCGCCTCTTGGGCTGGCTTGGCGCCGCCTTGGGGCGCGTTGGGGCCTTCCTGCATGCTTCGTGCGCCGTCTCCGCGTGTCGGGAAGCGGAGCGGGAGACCACGCGGAAAGCAAAGAGAATCCGATGGGGAAGCAATCATTTTGGCCTTTCCGGGCTGTTTCGGAAAACCAGTTTAAGGTCCTCTTGGCCCGTCTCGGATGCCTCGTGGGCCGCATCGGAGCGATGGTGGGCGTGCTGGGGCAAGTTTGGAGCCCTGTGGGCTTCCATGGCCATCCCTGTGGCCTGTCTAAGCTTGTGGATGCCACGACAATGGACACCCTAACAGTGCGATCATGGAATTTAAAGTGTGTTTAAAATGTAAGAAAATGTTCTACACATGGTGTGAACATGTGGTTTACATGTTTGCAACATGTTTAACCCATGTTTTAGGCATGGAGAGGAAGCATGTTTAAGACATGCTCCCTCTCCATTTGATCGTCCTCCACAAGTCTAAGTCCAAACTCAGTTGGGGAGCCACCATGGAGCCCGCTCGGGCGACTCTGCGCGCCTCGTTGGCCGTCCGTGCGCCTGCGTGGGGTGAGCCCTGCTGGGCGCCTCTCGTGTTGTGGAGGACGATCACTGGAGAGGAAGCATGCTGCTGAATCATTTCCAGATGTCCAAATCATGACTTAAACATGCCTCACACATGATTTAAACATGTTTGGAACATGTTTAGAACATGTTTCCGACACTTTAAACACATGTTAAATTCAATGATCGGATTGTTAGGGTGTCCGTTGCCGTGGCATTCACAGTGCTTGCTCTTCTTCGCGCGTCGGGCAGCGGAACGGGCGACCGCACGAAAACCCTGGGCACACACGCGGGAAAGGAGCGACTCGGCCCCCGGAGCTTGTGTCGGAGATGAGCTATAGGAGCCCTCCCTGCGCGCCCCGGAGGTTCGACCCTTTTCTCTCCTCCCCTTTCTGGACGCCCGAAATGGGTACTGAAAGAATGGGTACAATGCCCAACAACAAGTCCTGTTCATTTTGAACAGGACTCGCTGTCCGCGCCGCCGCAGCCCGTGTCCATTCGAGACAGAAGGTCGCCTCCCCAACAGCGGCCGCTGTTGGCTTGGGACAGCATTTGTTGTTGGGCACAGTGCCCATTCTTTCAGTACCCATTTCGGGCGTCCAAACCCTTCGCGCCCTCTCTCCCGCCCCCTTCCCCACTGTGGCCGGGCAGGGGCCCAGGGCCTGCCCGCCAGGGTGGCGCGCCGGAGGCCCGAAGGGCGGAGGATCGCCCACCCTGGCGACGGGCCAGGCCACCCAAGCCAAGGATCCTCCTCTTCCTCCTCCTCCTCCTCCTCCTCCTCCTTCTCCTCCTCCTCGTCCTCGTCCTCGATCTCGTCCTCGTCCTCCTCCTCCTCTCCACCACTTCCGACCCCTGCAGCGTAGACTCCCCCGCCCCCGACACCAGCAGCGCTGCCCCTCCTCCTCTCCTTCCCCGTTCGCCAGGCTGGTGAGGTTCCTCCCCCCCTTTCCTCCCTCCTCGTCTCCTTCTCTCTCTCTCTCTCTATCTCTCTCTCTCTCTTGTTGTTGCTGCTGTTGTTGTTGTTGCTGCTGTTGCTGTTGTTGTTGCTGTGGTTGTTGGTGTTGTCGTTGACGTTGTTGTTGGTATTGATATGGCTGTTGTTGGTGTTGTTGTTGCTGTGGTTGCTGTTGTTGTTGCTGTTGTTGTTGTTGCTGCTGTTGTTGTTGTTGTTGTTGTTGTGTGCGTCTCTCTTTCTCTATTGAGTAATGTGTCTCTTTGTTGCTTTCTCTCTCTCTCTCTCCCTCTCTCTCTCTTTCTCCCTATTTGTGTGCATATGCATTTACATCTCTCTCTCTCTTTCTCTGTCTCCCTCCCTCCCTCTCAGCATCATTGTCGTTATTTATCTCTCTTTCTCTCTTTCTCTCTTTCTTTCTCTCTCTTTCTCTCTTTCTCTGTCTCTCCCCTGCGCCCTCCAACGGCTCGCTCCCTGTTCCCTTCTCCTTCTTTCCGCCTCGCGTCCGTCCTGCCTCCTCCGTCCCCTTCCCACTCCAAGTCCTCCTCCCTCCCTGGCGTAGCCCCGAGAGCCACCCTGCCCCGAGCCCGCAAGCCCCCTTCAGGTTTTTTTGTCCGGCCTTTGCCGTAGTTCTAGGTATCTTGCTCAGACTGTAGGTTCTTCGGACTTCCTGTTTCTGTTCCTGTTCTCCTTTCTCACTCCCGCTGCGCCAGGAAGCGGCGCGAGCATCCGGTTCCTGACGCTCGTCCGCCTCTTCAAGCTGCTGCGGCGCCCCCGCTGAGCGAGCCGTTTGCTGCCGTTGCCCTTGCCGCCGCCGTCGTCATCGTCGTCGTCGTGGGCATCGACGTCGTTGTCGTTCACATGGGTTCGACTGCGCGGATATTCCCGCGTACGTTGCCCGCATAATGTCGCGCGTAAGCGCCTCCTGTTTCCAGTGTAGCATGCCGCGCTGGCGGCCCGCGGAAGCCACTGCGTGAGGTCGCTATGCCATCTCGGGTAAGACTCGTGTCTTTTCGTCGCTCAGATGATGTTGTTCTTGGAGCTCAGAGGAGAAACAGGAACCACCGCCACCGAGAACCCATCGGGGATAGCCTACCCCTGGGCGGTTGCGCGCCTCAGTGGAGTTTAGCAATGGCAGCCCGTTTCGTTGTACCGTTGAGAAATTGTGTCTTCAGAGTGGCAACAATTGAAGATGGTTTGCCGAAACGGTTAAGAATAACGAATTATCGGAACGGCTTGCGCAGTCTGGGGGTCCAAAGGACGTTCGTAATTGGTTCGTGAACGGATCGGATCTGGTCAAAAGTTCTGATCTGATCCAGGCCCCCACCGGGTGAAGCGACAACACAAAACAGCGGCGCCAGAGGCATCAACAGACAATGGCATCGGAGAAAGGCCAAACCAGGGGACGGGTACAACTGAGACAGGGCCCACCACGGCCAAGACAGAGACCTCTACCACCGAGAAGGAGGAGGAGGAGGAGGAGGAGGAGGAGGAGGAGGAGGAGGGAGGAGGAGGAGGAGGAGAAGGCAGGGCCCACCACCACCACCGAGAACTCATCCGGGGGAGGCCGACCCCTGGGCTTGTGGCGCGCCCGAGCGCGAGTGTCCCCCTTGCACCGGACGACGCTCCGGCGTGCCACCGCCCAGGAGCGGGTCCAGCCCCGGTGGGTTGTCGGTGTTGGTGGCTCGTGTTTCTCCGCCCTCCTCCTCCTCCTCCTCCTCCTCCTCCTCCTCCTCCTCCTCCTCCTCCTCCCCCTCGGGACCCTAGGGTCCTCCTGGCGCAGGCGGGGAGCGCCGGGCCCGAGGGGCGAAAATCCCCCGCACCCCGGGGGACGCCGCCAAAGTGCGGTTTCCTTCCCCCGGGGGGGTCGCCAGGTCCCGTGGCCTCCCCCAGGGCGGTGCTGGTTCCCTCCAGCGCTCGCCGCCCTGGGGCGGGACCGGCGGCTCGTCTCTGTCGTGTCGTTCGTCCGTGTCGTGTCGTTCGTGTCGCGTCGTTCGTTTCGTCCCCCCGTCGTGTCGCGTCGTGTCGTGGTCCCCTTTTTGGTTTCGGTCCTGGGGGTCCCGGGGTCCGCAACCGCGGCCACCTATGGAGTAGGTGGTGGGTAGGTTGGGCGTCGGAGCACGTGCTCCGGCGCCCCCTACCCCGACCAGGGTGCGCGGAGCACGGTCTCCTTGCGCTCCCTGGTCGCGCTCAGGGCACGCCACGGGGGCACGGCCCCGACAGTGGCGCTGCCGCGCCATGGAGCGCCCTCAGACGATTGCCAGTCGTCTGTTGAAGTCAGGCATTGCCCCATTTAGTTGGGGTCTGAGGCAGTGGATGTCAAAAAAATCCTCCTCCTCCCCCTCTCCCTCCTCCTCCTCCTCCTCCTCCTCCTCCTCCTCCTCCTCGTCCTGCTCCTCCTCCTCCTGCTGCTCTTCCTCCTCCTCCTCCTCCTCCTCGTCCTCCACCCTCTCCTTCTCCCCCTCCTCCTCCCTCCACCTTCCAGATCTGGCCAGTCCCCGAGCTCCCCCGAGCAAAACGAGGGGAAAACGCGGGGAGACGTCCACCGCTGGGGGGAGCTCTTCCGACGCCCCCCCACGTCGAGGGTGGGCGCCCCCTCTCCCTGCTCGTGGTAACCCCCGAAGTGGGCCCCTTGTGGACTTCTGGTCCAGCCGGAAGTCGGGGAGTGGAGCGGAGTCGCTCCACTCCCCGAGTCGAGTCGCCGAGCACCGGGGGGTGCGCGGCGACTCGAGTCGGAAGTCGGGGAGTGGAGCGGATCCGCTCCACTCCCCGAGTCGAGTCGCCGAGCGCCGGGGGGTGCTCGGCGACTCGAGTCGCCGAGCACCGGGGGTGCACGGCGACTCGAGTCGCCGTGCACCCCCGGTGCTCGTCGGACCACATCGGGGGGATGTCGGGCCGGGCGAAAGGGGGGGATTGGGAGAGGGGGGGGGGGCGAAGTTTGTTGCATGCAGCTGGTTTAGGCCTCACCGAGGGGCCCATTCCTCGATACATGGGCGCCTCCCGGCGCCGGGAGGCGCCGGGAGAATCAGCTACGCGAGCTGATTCTCAAACCCCCCCTTTGCTATCCCCCCTTTCGCCCGACCCGGGGATGGTGGGCCGCCCTTGGGCAAACCGCCGGGGTTCGGGGGCTGCTCTGGGGGTAGATACACGCCTGGGCGCTGCTTTTTGGGAACATGGTCGAGACATCAGGTTTCAGGGGCAACTTCAAGGGGAGGAATGGGCTCAGGGGGGCATGCATCGACCCCCCCGCGCGCCCACTCGTTGCCGATAAGGGCCTGATGGCCAACCCGGAACGTGCTTTTTGTTCGCAATCGGGGGCCTATCGTGAAGTCGGGCCTGTCCCTCCACAGGCGACTATTTTTTGAGTATTGTTTGACCATTTTGGAGCATTTTTGTGGTATTTGTTTTCTTTTTCGTCGAAAATCCCCCTGTAGGGGGACACGCCCGACTGTAAGCCTATCGCCCTGTATCGCCGAAGCCAGCTCGGCGTTCCCTCCGGAGCCGGTCCCTCCCTCTTGTGATTCTGCTCTAGAGTTGTGAGTGCGAGATGCAAAACCTCGGGGGTTGGAGGGACCTCCTACCCTGACACGTCGATTGAGGAATTGGCCGTTTTCTGTTCGCGAGACGGCATCGCGGCCGTCATTTTTGCGGGTCCAGGTCCGTCGGTTGCGGTCCCAGCCCGTTTTCACTAAGGGGAGGTTTACTAAAGGGAGGTATGTCCACCGCCGAAACACGCTGGTCTTTGGTACCAAGCAGATGCATTGTCTTGGCCTCTTGCTATGAGCTGGCCTTTGCATTGACGAGCATACCTGCGGCCGGTTCGTGAGGTGTCGACGTGGCGGCGACCCCAGCGCGGGCTCTCAAGGGTTGAACGCCCCCAGTGGTCTGGAGTCGGCAGCTCGTGGCGAAACGGTGATGTGCTTCCCCCCCCCCTTCCGATGGTCCGAGATTTGGCCCTCGCAGGGCTCGACATTTGTTTGAATCACACGCTCTGGGGGGGGGCGGCGCGCGACCGCGCCATGGATCAGCACAACAATGAGTACACGCGACGCGCTGCTTCCGAACGGAAGCAAGCCTGCGCATCGCAGCGCAGTGCATTTGTTTGCCTGTCCCCAGGGGCAAGCGATGTTGTGTCGAGGCCTCGCAGTGCGCGCTGTCTGCTGCACTGGGCTCGCGAGGCGGCGCCGCTCGAGGGTCGCGGTCTTGTTGGCCTCGGCCCTCCGCCTTGGGGACCTGGCTTCGCTTGTCCGACGGGCACTTCTTTGCGAGGGGGCGGAAGTTATCTGCTTCGCCGGGGGCGACGACGATGGCAGCGGCGAAGACGAGGAGGGCAGCCCTTCCGCTGCTTGAACACCTCGCTGATGTGCTCTCCAGAGGGAGATTTTGCCGAGCTCTGGATAATTGCCAACCCTGTCGAAGAGCAGCGATACTTTCTGCTCCGCCGTTTTTGAATCCGTCATCGATGCCAGGATCAAAACGGGGCTTAGGAGCCCCACTTCGGACAAGGACCATTTGGGGAGGTGCCCTTGTCTTCGATACGCTCTAAACCAATCGTGACTCATGCTCACCGCGGCCAGAGCTACCTGATATTCGTACTCGTCGTCTCCCTTGTTTTCCTCATCGTCTTTCTTCGTCGGCATTGTACAGGTGGGGTGCGTTGTGGGGCTGCTTTCCGCGGGGAAGGTGTACCATGCTCCTCGATCATCCTCCTCCTCCGCCTTCTCCTCCTCCTTCTCCTCCGCCTCCTCCTCCTCCTCGCTCTTCCTCCTCCTTCTCCTCCTCGCCCCGCCTGCGAGAGGCTGGGGCGCGTGCTGCGCCTGCTCCGCCTCATGCGCAATACCAAGGATGGGCCCCTACCGCGAAGGGGCGGGGGGGAGGGTTGGATGGGGGGGAGGAGAGGATGTAGGACGGGGGGGGGAGTGGAGGAGGAATGCATTGGAATGGGATCAATGACGTAGTCATACCGAAGATAAAACATTAGAGTTTGGACTTCGGCCTTAGGCCCCTCTCGAAACGGCCCAAACACTCTCGCCGCTTCTTGGAAACACGCTGGGGATCGCAGGGTCGGGCTAACCCGCGCATGACGAGTTTCCCAAAGAACCCGCAACTCCCGCAAATCCAAACACCAGAATCCTGGGGAAACACCATATTGTGCGAGCTAGGATCGAAGCCCCCCCCCAACATGAACTCGGAACCCCCGCGGAGGCTCGCGTGCCCGTCCCGCCGCCTCGAGCTCCGTGCACGGCGTGGCGAGCCAGGCCGTCCCAGCCGCCGCCGTTGACGAGGACTTACAGCCCAGAGTCGTCCAGCTGGTGGACGGAGGAGAAGAGGGCGACGGCGGCAGGAGGGGGGGGGAGCAGGCGGGGGCAGAACAGCAGCAGCGGCAGGAGGGCGCGCAGACGTATTTTTCAGCCCGACGAACCTGGACGGAAGCCTCCACCGCAGCAAGCGTGGACCTCATCAGCCGTCTGCGAACCAACCTAGCCATACCCTCTGCCTCCGCAACTCGACACCGATGTGATTCAGCAACCCTGGAATTCTGGGCGGCGATTCTTGCAAGCTCATCGGCGGCCTCGTTACCTGCAATCATCCAGCTGGGGTAGCGACGATACACACTGTCCGACGGGGCGACATGCGAAGTCACTTTAAGAACCACAACCGGACCGATGCGAGCCTTCAACAGCACACCGATCTCTCTCCAAATCGATGCTAGAGCACCGTAAGGACGCTCATAGAGCCGCTCATACCAGCCCCTAGCGACCTTGTTGTTGTCAGTAGTATGTGCAAGATCCCCAAGAGTCAACCGAATGGCCAGCTCGAGGCCTCTCAACTCCCCCCTCGGGACGGATTGCCGCCGGCCTGTGAGAGGTCCAAAGACGACGGGACCGAGGAGGAGGAGGAGGAGGAGGAAGAGGAGGAGCGAAAGGATGAGAAGGAGGGGAGGAGGGATGAGGAAGAGGGGGAGGAGGAGGAGGAAGAGCAAGAGGGAAGGAGGAGAAGCGAGGAGGAGGGGAGGATGGATTTGAGGCGAGGAGGGAGGAGAGGAGGAGGGGGATGGATCGATGATCGCGCTCGGGGACGGGGCTTGAGGAGAGGAGGAGAGGAGGAGGGGAAGACGAGTGAGGGTCCGACGCCCAGCCCTTTTGGATGCCGCCGCGCTCCCTCGCCGGGCCGCGGCGCCCTGGCGATAGCGGCGCGCCGAGCCGCTTGGGCAAGCCGCTGGAGATATCGGGCCGCTAGGGCGGCCGCAGCGCGTGGCGGCCTAGGCACGGGGCGTTTGATGGGCCAATATTCCACCACAAACATGGGTAGGACGGGGGAGAAGGGAGGAAGGGGAGGTCCTCCTCCTGCTCCTCCCTCCTCCCCTACCTATGGTAATGGTGGTGGAAGGTCGGCCCATCAGCGTTGCGCGCGGGATTAGGGAACCCGACGCCGAGCACCGCGAGGGCGGCCGCCGTTGGGACTCCACGCGCGCGCTGCCGCTGGACGCTGGGCGCTGAGCTGCAGGGGCGGCCGGCCAGGGAATCTGCGTCGGGGCGCTTGCGCAAGGAGGGGCGGCTGTTGACTCGGGGCCGCGATGGGCCGCGGGCCAGTGCTGGCGCTGCGGTCGGCGGGGGGCTGCAATAGCTCGGCAGCAGTTCGTGGGAGCCTTGCGTGTCCTCGAAGCTTCGCCCTGAGAGTGCAGTAGCGTTAGCGTTTGTTTGCGTCTGGTCGTCGATGACAAATCGCCAATCTAGCGTCGAGCGTCGATGCAGCGTCGACGAGCGTCAGTTAGCGTTGATTCGCAAGAACCAGCAACATGTCTTGGATGGCTCCCACGAGTTGCCATCCAACGTCAGGGCGCGATACGAGGAGGTGGTGATTGGGGCTGGTGCGTGTACATGCCCATATTTGTATGATTCCAGGGGGAGGATGTGAGAGAGAGAGTGCGAGAGAATCACAAAACAATGAGGGACCATAATGCGACGCCATGCATACGAGGGGGAGGTTTGCCGAGTCGGATGTGAACGCCTTCCTGGTGATGGGCGTGCAGCCGCACGGCCGCCCGTAATCATATTGGGCCGGATATCGATGATCTCTGTCCTTCGGGTGAGGTCGACTCCCTCGCCTGTTTGTCAACTTCATATCCGTGCGTGATAGCGCCGCCACTCCCCCCGCTTCTCTTCGACACCAGATGCGGCACTCGGACGATCGGAGCGACGCCGCTACCACCAGGGGGGCCGCCTCCAGCGAGGAGGTCCACGATGCCTCCTCGAGCTGCGGACAGGGGACGCCTCCAGCGGCGAGGGGGGGCCCCACCAGTGGAAGGACCCCCCCTGGCTCCTCGCGCAGGTGGTGCCCCTCTGCCCTGCCCCCTGGGCCCGGATCCGTTTCGCTCCTCCGCCAGCCTCGGGGGCGGCCAAGACGGGAGGGGATGGCTGGGGGGGATAGCACGGCAGAGGCCATGAGATCTCCCCAGAGTCGATGGCGCCTGGTAGTCCGATGCGTCCCCGCCCCCCCCCCTGGGCCGCGCACGTGCTGCCGGCCATGATGTGCGCCACCCCCTCTTGGACGCCCCCCTCTCGGCCGCCCCCGACAGCCGCCCGCACCCTTCCTGGCCCCCGCCGTTGAGGAGCTCATCCTGCTGATCTCCGGCATCGCCGGCGCGATGAAAGCCATGATCTGGGGCGTGGTGACCGCCCGCCCCGCCTCTCTCAGGGAGGAGGAGCGGCTGTGTGGCTCCGAGGGGGCTCCAATACGGAAACTTCTGAGCGCTGCCTGGGCTGCTCCCTCCTTTTGGTTCTGACTGGTACCCTTCTCTTTGTTTCACGCAGGCCCCCCACGGCCCTTTTCAGGACAACTCGCTTGGCAATAGTTCCTCGGTCGGCTGGAGGGGTTTCGCGACGCCTCCAGACTTGGCATGGAGATCCACCTCGTTCCCTCCCCCCCCTCGAAGAAGTTTCAGCCTGCCCAGGGAGGGGGACGAAACATCATCCCTGGGAATGTGGTCAGGTCCTTGCTCGGGCCGCGCATTGGGAAATCGAAGCGTCGGATATCTGGGGATGAAACCGGTCAGAGGAGGAGGGGGGAATGAGGAGGAGGGGGGTGGGTCTGTACAATTGTTCGATTCTTTCCCTCTGCTCCCTCGCTCCGCTTGCCCACATTGCCACGACCATATCCGCCCCCGTGCCTTCGCGGTCTGGATCGCACCCCTAGACCCCCTGTTCTTGCCGGAGTCTCATAAGTGTACATTTTCGCGCATCGTATGTTTAAGGGCCGTTCTGGTTCAAGCAGGACTCCGCCCCTCTGTGTAATATTCCGACTACTGGCCTTCCGTACCTGGCGATACATGCCCCCTGTTTCCTGGATGGCATTCTCGATCGTGTAGTATAATTGTTTGTCGTTGCTGCACGGGGCTGGCTCGTTGAGATCACTGAAGTCATGAGCGGGATGGACATTCTGTGGCTGAACGGCATCCAACTACGCTTCACGGGCTTGGCCTCCAAGGTTGACAGAGTGGACGATACCTACGATGTTGTGCATTTTCCTGCTGCGCGTGGTCAATGCACAAATCTCACAGTTGGGTGCTCGATTGTTTCACGACGTTGTCTCTTTCCTCGTTCTTGTCATCGACGTGTGCTCACCCCTCCTCGTTCTTTGCAGGGGCGTTGTGGAGGATTCCACCTGCGGCGACAGAACTACGACCTGCTGGTACTACTGGCTGCGGCGCCCGTCAAGGCCTGCAGTGAGGCCACTGTCCGTTGGCTAGGCAAGCAGCGTCGTGATTGCGGTGCTGCCCGGACTACGGAAGTCTGGCTTCTCGACGCTAGCGTTCATCTTGGATTCGATTATGTCACGGACGGCTGTGGACTACGACTCTGTCAGGATACCCAGCACCCTGCGTGAGGTGGCCACGATCCCGCTCCCATCAATATCAGTGGGTGGCGTTTGCTCGAAGCAGCTTGGTCCCGACCTCTGGCTGGCAAATACGTTTTACCCAGGCGGCCTGTCATCTTTCGGACATGGCGGCTCCAAAGCTGTCGTAGATCACATGCCCATCGGTGCCGAGGCGGAGCAACGAATCCAGCATGTCGACGTCTGGACGCAGGCTGGGGTTCCCCCGCAACGCATACCTGATATTCGTACTCGGGATGATCTGCTGGTGTTTTGCGTTGTGGACTGATGCTTAGCATTGACAGGTGTACCTCGGCATACCTTAGCGTCGAGGCGACCTTCGCGCAGCGTTGGAATCATATCACCGAGGCTGCTGCACGAGAAGGCCTTGATGCATATGATACTCTCATTCGCGACATCTGTGTTGTGTGCGTTTTGCCTTATTACGCCGTTGCTGATTGGACACGGTTATTGATATGATGCAGAGCAAGCGGCTAGATTGTGGCGTCGGGAGGGCCATTGTGCGGCGCAACAGCTTGTGATAATTTGCTTAGGCGGAAGGTCCCCGACCGAGAACACAGGTTCTTTTTCATTTCTGGCCACTCTCGGCGGCAGGATCCCACTTTTCATCCATTGCGGTGTTTCCGTGGGGACTTGTCGGGATCTCTGCACCTCGCGCACATTGACGACCATGCGACGGCTTGCCGTATGACAGATATGCCGCACCACGCGCCTTCTATTCCGCGCGGGGGCGCGGCAACGGCGGGGCGATTTTCTCGCTGAGTGTGAGGAGGTTTGGACCGAACGCCGCTTCGCTGAAGACTGGCGCCTCTCGCGCAAGTTGACTGAGGGCCCTCGCAAGCGCCAGTGTTTCCAGATTGCAGGCTTCAAAGCAATGTCTGCCGAGAAGGTTGCTCGGGCTTCCCTGCCGGCTCAGGAAGGCGGAGTGACACCTACGCCATTCGACGCCGAGCTCGCGAGGCGTCCGCGGACATTGGACAGGTCTATTGATGATGGGGAAGATTTGGCTACGTGTGTTTAGGGGCTGTTGCGTCGCGGAGTTTGTCGAGTCCGTCAACGTCCGAGCGGGCCGCCATGGGAAATCTTGAACGATTTGTTGCGCATGCTGTTGTTCCCCGAAGCTCGGGTGCGTGGCCGCTGCGCCTAGGGGGCATTCAGGTCGAGGATTCGGAGGCCCCTTGCACTGCGGACGCCTTCGTATTTTTGTTGGCCAACGTGTGCTGCCAGCGCGCTACACCGCTCCGCTGGCGCGCTTCGTGGCTTGTCGAGATCCCGAAAAAGCAGGGTGCCGCGGGCTGGGGCGCCGTCTGGGATTCGCACCTGTTTAGCGCCTTTCCTAGTGCAGAAATGGCAGGCTTACGGGAACGATGCCGCCATTCCACCAACCGGTTTTACGCGTCCGGTTTTGCCTTCAAGCGTCGCAGGGAGGAGGCCGTCCGCGCGCCCGTTTGCGTCGCCGCGCGGCTTCGGGCGGCGGGGCGGGGAGTCAGCGAGATGTTTTCCGATGTGGGGGGCGCGTTCAGCTGCCCGCGCACGCGAGCACGCGCAGGAGTTGCGTTTCTATCTGCACCGCGTCTCCGCTAACCAGCAGTTTGATTGAGCATTTGTTTATGCTGAGCTGGACTTCGCGATCGTTCGCGTCGTCGTCCTGCGCCCGACGGGCACCGCGCGGTTCTTACTTGGTCCATCGGCGCCATGAACGTGAACGTCGACTTCTACTTGAAACTCTTTGGCGAAGCACGGGTTACAGCGACGCCGGCCACGGACTCGCTCCGATTTGATGGGCGCGCTGTTACTTCCACATTCGCCGACGATGCGAAGGCGACGCGCCTGGCCGGCACTTTTGAGAGCTCCGTCTATGCATGCCGACGGGCTTCGCATTTAGTTACTTGGCCAATCGCTCATTGTCAAACGGCGGGCTGACGCGGAGGCCCCTCCCTCCGTCGTGCAGCGCCTGGGCAATTTGGAAATCGTGGTTCCCTACCGTGGGGATGGCGCGCGACGTATTGTGCAGCGAGCGTGCCTCTCGCGGGGCGTTTACCTTGGCCTCGCACTTCCGGCCGCCCGCCGCCTCAGGAGGTCGGCGACATTTATTGCGCGTGTTCCATATTTTGCGCGTCCGCAACGTGTGGGCCGCCGCGAAGAATTGCGACCTGTTTCAAATATTTCGCCGCGCCGCCGACCCTGATTTCGCCGCCGCTGTGATCCGTGCCATGGCCCTTGGTATTTCGCTAGCTGCAGCTTGCTCTTGTGTGTTTGCTTGCGCGGATCTCCAGGCCATCGATGGCCTTCCGAGTCGCTTGGCGCAGCAGGCCCCCCTTGCGCGTCGGCCCGCCAATGTCAGTCGCAATATAGTGGCTCCGTGCCATTCCGAGGTGTAGAAGTCCCTGAAGTTCGCTGACCGCCGAGCTACGCATGGACTGGCTGCGCTGGCATCAGTCTATCAGCAGTGGTTTCTGGCAGTCTTCGTGTGTATCCAGGGTGAGACTACTGTTGGCGAGGCCAGCGGACTTCTTCCGATTGCTAATTGGCAGACTCGGCAGCTTGTCGATAATATTCGTTCTCTGATCGCGTTGGGCGATCACGCAGCCTCTGCGGAGGAATGCACCTCTGTTCCCTTGCGTGTGTTTCTGGGCCCTGACCATGCTGCGCGTTTTCAGGCGATTGGTCTTCGAATCTTGCGCGCGGCGACGTTGGCGGCGACGATGCCGGCGGCGGGCTCAGGGGGGCCCGAGGGGGCCGCTCGCGTCGCCGACCGACCGCCGACCCGATCATCGGTTGCGAGCTGCCTGGCGAGAGCGAGGGCGCATGCGGCATGCGATTCGCCCCCCGGCGGGCGCTGCGGGCGCATCGAGCGAGATCGAGGATCGATGTTCGCGGCCAGGCCAGACGTCCACAGCGAGCGCGGTCACGATAACGAATCAGCGCAGTATCAGTCGACGCGCGTTCGCGTCTCGCCCGACTGCTGTCAACCACCTTGCGGCTTCGCTGGGGCGGAGCTATTGTCCTGGGGGGGCGTAGCTGCCACAGTGCCGACGTCGTTGTTTCCGACGCGAGCCATTCGAGATTTGCGATCTCCTGCAAAGCTGCATACGCAGTCGCTCAGGCTCGATTCTCGATTCGCGCCTCGGCCGGGGCGCGACCCGGCAGGCCAAGCAGGCCCGGCAGGACAGGTAGGGGCCAGAACCAGTCGAGAAGCGCGACGACCTGATTTTGCGAACCTCTTCCGCGCGCTCTTCGCGCCGAATCCGACTGGGAGACGTGCTGCGACGCGATGCAGGAGGCATTGGGCAATTACGACAATGTCGTCCGCGGCAACAAGGGGCGGCCCTCCTTGCGAAGAAGAACGCGCTGGACGCCGCCAGCGAGCAGCGCGAGCTGATCGAGAAAGTTCTGATGGTGTTCGACGACCCCAGCAAGCTGAGAGACATCTTGGAGTCCCGCAGGTACGAGACGAAAGAGCGGGGGCATCGATGCCGCGTCACCGTGATCCCAGTGGCGCTCGAGGACTTCAGCAAAGCGATCGGCCTGGTCATCAAGGACTGGGCCTCTAAGGAACAGGAGGTCTTCGGCACGGCACCACCGAGCAACCGGGAAAGGCAGATCCAGGCCCGCATCCGGCGCGCGAAGTGAGTGTCGACCGCGCCGAGGCGATCAGCAAATCATTAGCAACATGGGGGGTCCCAGAGCCCCGCCAAGGACCCTTCTGGATGGGGGTTTGGGAAAACGATTTTTTGAAGCGAGCCACAGCATCAGCTTGTGGTATGGACCTCGCCC